TAGTATTCAGCAATGAAAATTAGCCATCAATATACCTAATAATGTAGACCAATTTTATAGAAAAGCTGAGCAACAGCCTGGCCAACAAGCTGAAACCCTGTCTCTACTAAAAATACAAAACATTAGCTGGGCATGGTGGCAGGTGCCTGTAATCCCAGCTACTGGGGAGACTGAGACAGGAGACTCACTTGAACTTGGGAGGCGGAGGTTGCAGTAAGCCAAGATTGTGCCATGGGACTCCAGCCTGGGTGACATAGTGAGACCCTATCTCAAAAACAAAAACAAAAACAAAAACAAAAAAAACCCCTCAAAAAACAGGAAGAAAAGCTGAGCAGAAGAGCACATGAGAGTGTACATGATGCCTGATTTCATTTGCGTGAAGTTCTGTAACAGCCAAAACTAACAAATAGAGACAGAAAAAGCAGTATTTGCCTGGGACTAGGAGTAGGAGCGTAACTGCTAACACACAGAATTTGGGGGGGCTGGCCGGTCACGGTGGCTCATGCCTGTAATCATAGCACTTTGCGATGCCGAGGTGGGCGGATCACTTGAGGCTAGGAGTTTGAGACCAGCCTGGTCAACAAGGTGAAACCTTGTCTCCACTAAAAGTACAAAAATTATCCGGGTGTGGTGGCGCGTGTCTGTAATCCCACTACTTGAGAGGCTGAGAACTGAGAATGGCTTGAACCCAGGGGGCTGAGGCTACAGTGAGCCAAGATCGAGCCACTGCACTCCAGCGTAGGTGACAGAGCAAGACCCTGTCTCAAAAAAAAAAAAAAAAAAAAAAAAAAATTGGGGGGATGATGGGAATTCTAAGTGTCTTGACTGTGATGGTTACATAAACGTATGTACAGATTTTTCAAAATTCATAAATTTCCAAACGCAGGACACTGACTTAAACTGAATAGCTACATTTCATACGTGATTATCTTTGACCTCACAAATAACAACATGATAGTCTAGCACATGTCATACTTCGAAGTTTTCTTTTTTTTCCCGCTTATCAGAATCAGGTGGAAACCTCTAAGGTTTCTTTTTTTCTTTTTTTTTTTTTTTTGAGACGGAGTTTCGCTCTTGTTACCCAGGCTGGAGTGCAATGGTGCGATCTCGGCTCACCGCAACCTCCGCCTCCCGGGTTCAGGCAATTCACCTGTCTCAGCCTCCTGAGTAGCTGGGATCACAGGCACGCGCCACCATGCCCAGCCAATTTTTTGTATTTTTAGTAGAGACGGGGTTTCACTATGTTGACCGGGATGGTCTCGATCTCTCGACCTCGTGATCCACCTGCCTCGGCCTCCCAAAGTGCTGGGATTACAGGCTTGAGCCACCGCGCCCGGCCGGAAACCTCTAAGGTTTCTTTTTTTTTTTTTTTTTTTGAGACGGGGTTTCGCTCTTGTTACCCAGGCTGGAGTGCAATGGCACGATCTCGGCTCACCGCAACCTCCGCACCCTGGGTTCAAGCAATTCTCCTGCCTCAGCCTCCCTAGTAGCTGGGACTACAGGCGTGCGCCACTATGCCCAGCTAATTTTTGTATCTTTAGTAGAGACGGGGTTTCACCATGTTGACCAGGATGGTCTCGATCTCTTGACCTCGTGATCCACCCGCCTCGGCCTCCCAAAGTGCTGGGATTACAGGCTTGAGCCACCGCGCCCGGCTCTTTTTTTTTTTTTTTTTTTAAAAGATGGGATTTTGCCGGGCGCGGTGGCTCACACCTGTAATCCCAGCACTTTGGGAGGCCGAGGCGGGTGGATCACGAGGGTCGAGAGATCGAGACCATCCTGGTCAACATGGTGAAACCCCGTCTCTACTAAAAATACAAAACATTAGCTGGGCATGGTGGCACGTGCCTGTAATCCCAGCTGCTCAGGAGGCTGAGGCAGGAGAATTGCCTGAATCCAGGAGGCGGAGGTTGCAGTTGGCTGAGATCGTGCCATTGCACTCCAGCCTGGGTAACAAGAGCGAAACTCCGTCTCAAAAAAAAAAAAAAAAAAAAAAAAAGAAGAAGATTTCATCAGGGTAGCATTTCTTCTGGAGGCTCTGGGAGAAAATCCATTCCTTGCATTTTTGTTTCTACAGGCTTTCCTCCTTCCTTGAATCGTGGCCTGATTTGAGCCAGCAAGCAGAACTCTGCTCCCACCCTCATAGCTCCCTTTCTCATTCTGACTCTTGACTCTTCTACAACCCTCTTGTAAGGACCCTGTGATCAGACTGTGCCCACCTGGATAATCCAGGATCGTTGTCCCATCTCAAGATCCTTAATTAATGAGAAAGGCCCTTTTGGCATCTAAGTTCACATGTTTAACAGATTCCAGGGATCAGGACATGGATATTGCTGGGGGCTATTATCCTATCTTTTTTTTTTTTTTTTTTTTTTGAGACAGTCTCACTCTGTTTCCCAAGCTGCAGTGCAATGGCGGGATCTCAGTTCACTGCAACCTCTGCCTCCTGGGTTCCTTCAATTTTCATGCCTCAGTCTCATGAGTAGCTGGGATTATAGGCACCTGCCATCACGCCTGGCTAATTTTTGCATTTTTTTTTTTTTTTGAAAGATGGGGTTTTGCCATGTGGCCAGGCTGGTCTTGAACTCCTGGCTTTAGGTGATCCACCCACCTCAGCCTCCCAAACTGCTAGGATTACAGGCGTGAGCCACTGCGCCTGGCCAATTTTTGCATTTTTAGTAGAGATAGGGTTTCACCATGTTGGCCAGGCTGGTCTTGAACCTCTGACCTCAGGTGATCTGCCCACTTCTGCCTCCCAAAGTGCTGGGATTACAGGCGTGAGCCACTGCACCTGGGCTATCCTACCTTTATTGTACCGTTATTCTACTTTTGCCTAACTTAGAAAAACTTGGTCTCTGAAGGGCCTCTATTGATGATGTGAGATTTCTGCCCTTCTTCAAAACACTGATCTGCCCCGGTCCAAACACCTACCTGCTTTATCTCATGGAGGTTCCGGGTTGACTTTCGTAACTAGGTAAAGTCTTGTATGTAGGATTCAGGTTCCAGGTTCATCGGACCTTGAAATTCAGAGTTCAGGGGCTCAAGATTTGAGACAGTAGAGGGAGACTTTGGCCTTGAGAAAGTGACCTCAATTCTAGGAGACTCAGAGGAATTTTTGGCTTGAAGTTGACCCAGGGTTCAGGCAACAGAGAGCAATGGCGTAGCGAAATACCACATTTACTTTTTCAAGGGGAATAAAAAAGCAGAAGTGGCCGGGCCTGGTAGCTCATGTGCCTGTAATCCTAGCACTTTGGGAGGCCGAGGAAGGTGGATCACTCTCGGTCAGGAGTTCGAGACCAGCCTGGCCAACATGACAAAATATAAAAGTTCTCTACTAAAAACATAAAAATTAGCTGGGCATGGTGGTGGGTGCCTGTAATCCAAGCTACTAGGGAGGCTGAGGCAGGAGAATCACTTGAACCAGGGAGGTGGAGGTTGCAGTGAGCCGACATTGCACCATTGTACTTCAGCCTGGGCAACAAAAGCGAAACTCCGTCAAAAAAAAAAAAAAAAAAAAAAAAAAAAATAGCAGCAGTGGACTTAGCCACACACTAGGCTAATCTTAGCTTGAAGGATGAAGAGAACACCAAAGACCTATACACAAACTACTGACTCAGAGGTCAAGGTCCTTCTCATTTTGTATCGAATAGCGCCCCTCCCCTCTCCAACAGGGATGAGGGACAAAGAGCAAAATGAGAGGAAGCTGGAAATAGGAGAATAATAGCCAAGGCCAGAGTGTGCTCACCAGATAACATAAAAACTTTCAAGCTATAGTTACAGGTGAAGTCTCTCTTAAGTTTTCTCCTTCCTCTTGTTTCTTTAATAAAGAATGACGCATCCTTGATGCAGAGCAGGGGATAATGAAAAATAAATAAATAAGCCGGGCGCGGTGGCTCAAGCCTGTAATCCCAGCACTTTGGGAGGCCGAGGCGGGTGGATCACGAGGTCAAGAGATCGAGACCATCCTGGTCAACATGGTGAAACCCCGTCTCTACTAAAAATACAAAAAATGAGCTGGGCATGGTGGCATGTGCCTGTAATCCCAGCTACTCAAGAGGCTGAGGCAGGAGAATTGCCTGAACCCGGGAGGCGGAGGTTGCGGTGAGCCGGGATCGCGCCATTGCACTCCAGCCTGGGTAACAAGAGCGAAACTCCGTCTCAAAAAAAAAAAAAAAAGGCCGGGCGCGGTGGCTCAAGCTTGTAATCCCAGCACTTTGGGAGGCCGAGGCGGGCGGATCATGAGGTCGAGAGATCGAGACCATCCTGGTCAACATGGTGAAACCCCGTCTCTACTAAAAATACAAAAAATTAGCTGGGCATGGTGGCACGTGCCTGTAATCCCAGCTACTCAGGAGGCTGAGGCAGGAGAATTGCCTGAACCCAGGAGGCGGAGGTTGCGGTGAGCCGAGATCGCGCCATTGCACTCCAGCCTGGGTAACAAGAGCAAAACCTCGTCTCAAAAAAAAAAAAAAAAAAGAAATAAATAAACCAAACAAAACAAATATATAAAGGATGATGGATCCGTCTTGCCTTAATCTTTATTTGAAGAAAGAGAAAAGTGGCCAGGCGCCGTGGCTCACGTCTGTAATCCCAGCACTTTGAGAGGCTGAGGTGGGCAGATCACCTGAGGTCAGGAGCTCGAGACCAGCCTGACCAACACGATGAAACCCCATCTCTACTAAAAAATAAATAAATAAATAAAAAGAGAACGTTTCCTAAATTCAGATGTCACTGGAGAAGAACTTTGGAATTTGGTAACCCCAGTGATCTACTCTACAAAATTAATGTAATTGACATAATAGGCTTTCTCATCACTAAGGATGTAAATCCCCAGGATAACGTCCCTCTTAGCCTCCTGTTTGTACAGACAGCCCAGATTCCCAGTAATTGCCTGAGAATGAGGAAGGAGTCAGGAATGAGTCATCCTCTGCCCAAGCAGGTGGCAGTGGGCACACCTGAAGAAACAAGGTCCAGGAACAATCAGCACAACTTAAGACTCCAGAGGAAGAAGTCCAGAGACAGAGCACCATGACTTCTGAGAGAGGTAAAACAGAGCCGGGGGCAAGTATTCTCGAACAATGTAAGAAGTGTGTGTGCGTGTGTGTGTGTGTGCATGGGTGCGTGTGTGTGTGTGTGTCCTGCTGATTCTTCCATCTGTAGGTGTTTTCCAACTTCCTTAATTATTGATTCATATATTAATCTTAAATCAGATGATTTATTATTATCATTTACTTGTCCAAGTGACTTTAACCAAATGTCATTAAATCAGTGTTTCTTTTGTAGCAGGATTTTTAAAGGACAGAGAGACCTTTCAGGCTTCAAGAGAATTTTATTAGGTGCACCAGCTCATACTTAGACTACTGTTTTTAAATGGCTGTGGCCCCAAACCAAGAATTACATGTTTTTAATACACTTTAGGGCGGGAAAAACAAGGCAGGGAACAAGTTTGGAGACAAAGGCAGTTAATTTTACTTCGTGACAGTTTTGCAGTCTTGAAAAACATATTTTCTACCTGGTTCACCTTGGTCTCATGGCCTTGCAGCTGGGGTAGAGAAAAACAAGGATAGCAGAGGCCAAGCACAGTGGCTCACACCTGTAATCCCAGCACTTTGGGAGGCTGAGGCGGGAGGATTGCAAGGTCAGGAGTTCGAGACCAGCCTAGCCAATATGTTGAAACCCTGTCTCAACTAAAAATACAAAAACATTAGCTGGGCATGGTGGCGCATGCCTGTAGTCCTAGCTACTTAGGAGGCTGAAACAGGATAATTGCTTGAATCCTGGAAGTGGAGGTTGCAGTAAGCCGAGATCACGCCACTGCACTCCAGACTGGGTGACAGCATGAGACTCTGTCTCAAAACAACAACAACAACAACAAAAAACAAAGAAAAACCCAAGGATAGCAGAAATATGTAAATACGTGTGGGTAGAGATATATGCCTGGGTGCTTACATGAACTTCCTTATTTCTAAGGGAGGAGGGAGTTGTATTGGATTTGCTCTTCTTTTACTAACTTTTACTAAGTACAGTTTTATGACTTACTTTGAATGTGTGTGTGTTGCTTGATAAGCCTGTAGTTGCAGTTAATATAATTCAGCTGGGAGGGGTTACTTACTTAGCTTAAGTGTGATTTTTCTAGCAACATATTTTAATCTTTTTTTTTTTTGAGACGGAGTTTCGCTCTTGTTACCCAGGCTGGAGTGCAATGGCGCGATCTCGGCTCACCGCAACCTCCGCCTCCCGGGCTCAGGCAATTCTCCTGCCTCAGCCTCCTAAGTAGCTGGGATTACAGGCATGCGCCACCACGCCCAGCTAGTTTTTTGTATTTTTTTAGTAGAGACGGGGTTTCGCCATGTTGACCAGGATGGTCTCTTTTTTTTTTTTTTTTTTTTGAGACGGAGTTTCGCTCTTGTTGCCCAGGCTAGAGTGCAATGGCACGATATCGGCTCACTGCAACCTCCGCCTCCCGGGTTCAGGCAATTCTCCTGCCTCAGCCTCCTGAGTAGCTGGGATTACAGGCATGCGCCACCATGCCCGGCTAATTTTTTGTATTTTTAGTAGAGACGGGGTTTCACCATGTTGACCGGGATGGTCTCGATCTCTCGACCTCGTGATCCACCCGCCTCGGCCTCCCAAAGTGCTGGGATTACAGGCTTGAGCCACCGCGCCCGGCCATCTTTTATTTTTATTTTTATTTTTTTTAAGATGGGGTTTCACCATGATGGCCAGGCTGGTCTTGAACTCCTGACCTCAGGTGATCCATCCACCTCGGCCTCCCACAGTGCTAGGATTACAGGCATGAGCCACAGCGTCTGGCCACATATTTTAATCTTAACTATAATTCTCATTTTATTTTATTTTGTTTTCCTCCTCAGTTTCACGATAAAAAAAAATTAAGTAGCCGGGCGCGGTGGCTCAAGCCTGTAATCCCAGCGCTTTGGGAGACCAGAGGCCGGTGAATCACAAGGTCAAGAGATCGAGACCAACCTGGTCAACATGGTGAAACCCCGTCTCTACTAAAAATAGAAAAAATTAGCTGGGCATGGTGGCACGTGCCTGTAATCCCAGCTACTCAGGAGGCTGAGGCAGGAGAATTGCCTGAACCCAGGAGGCGGAGGTTGCGGTGAGCCGAGATTGCGCCATTGCACTCCAGCCTGGGTAACAAGAGCGAAACTCTGTCTCAAAAAACAAAACAAAACAAAACAAAACAAACAAAACAAAATTAAATAGCCTGGTGCAGTGGCTCATGTAATCCACATGCCTCGGCCTCCCAAAGTGCTGGGGTTATTAGGCATGAGCCACCGTGTCAGGCCCTCAAAATTAAATAAATAAAAAATAGTAAAATACAGCCTGGTACAGTGGCTCACACCTGTAATCCCAGCACTTTGGGAGGCCAAGGAGGGTGGATCACTTGAGGCCAGGGGTTTGAGACCAGCCTGGGCAACATAGTGAAACCCTGTCTCTACTAAAAATACAAAAATTAGCCAGGCATGGTGGCGCATACCTGGAGTGCTACCTGTAAGATTTATTGCCAAGGTAAAATGAGGAAACTGAGGCAAGTATAAGAAAATGAGGAGCTAATTTATTCAGCTCCCCGGCGAGGTTCTGTGGTCCAGGAAGGGGCCAAAGAAGTCATGCCCAGCTGTTTAGGGAGTGGGGTTTTATGGGGACGGAAGGCAATTGATCGGCTATTGGGGAAACAAAGCAAAGGTAATCTTATTGGCTGTTAAGAAGCAGGAAATACCTGGAACTAGCTGCCATTGGTAGGTGTGCAGGTCCTTGGGTAAGTGGGCCTGCTGGGGGCATACAGGGCAGATTGCTACCGGGCAGGGTCTGATGAGGCTTCTTTTAAAATTTTCTGCAGGGTTTATCAACATGGGGCTGGGGGTTGAATGCATAGTTTAGTGCTGAATGTGGGCTTAGGTCTGGTATGCGGAGGCAGGTGCGGGGAAGCCGTGCAGCAAGGCCAGATAATGGGCTTGGGTGATGATGCAGTTATCAGACACGGAGAGAGATGGATGTGTGCGTTTAACCCTCTGCCAGGCAGCCGGCCTTACACTACCTACTCAGGAGGCTGAGGCAGGATGATCGCTTGAACCCGGGAGACAGAGGTTGCAGTGAGCTGGGATCGCGCCATTGCACTCCAGTCTGGGCAACAGAGCAAGACTCTGTCTCACAAAAAAATAAAAATAAAAACAAAAAATAAAAAAAATTAAATAAAAATACAACTGTTTAAGTAACAGTTTAAGGTGGCTGGGCGCAGTGGCTCACGCCTGTAATCCCAGCACTTTGGGAGGCCTGAGGTGGGTGGATCACGAGGTCAAGAGATCGAGACCATCCTGGTCAACATAGTGAAACCCGTCTCTACTAAAAATACAAAAAATTAGCTGGGCATGGTGGCGCACGCCTGTAGTCCCAGCTACTAGGGAGGCTGAGGCAGGAGAATTGCTTGAACCCAGGAGGCAGAGGTTGCGGTGAGCCGAGATTGCGCCATTGCACTCCAGCCTGGGTAACAAGAGCAAAACCCCGTCTCAAAAAAAAAAAGAAAAGAAAAAAAAAAAAAGAAAAAAAAAACAGTTTAAGGTAACAACAGACATGGTAGCATAAGAATAAGGTGCTAATTGATAAATGAGCTGACAATGACAAATTGATAAATCAGTGCACAGTTACTGTTAGAAAAATTCATGGGAGAGGAAGAACAGTTCAGGCTGAAGGAAAGAATTTCAGCTGAGGTAGGATTTGAGCTGGATTCTAAGAGAAGCATAGACTTAAAAAAACATTTATTTTAAGCGACTTGGGGGTGGGTTCACTGCTTTAGCCAGGTTGTTCTCGAACTCCTGGGCTCGAGCAATTCTCCACCCTTGGCCTCTCAAAGTGCTAGGATTACAGGCATAAGCCACCATGCCTGACCACATTTTTTTTTTTTTTTCACAATTTGGTCTGTTGCCCAGGCTGGATAGTGGTGCGATCACTACTCACTGCTGCCTTGACCTCCTATGCTCAAGAGATCCTCCCCACTCAGCTTCCTGGGTAGCTGGACAACAGGTGTGGGCTGGCAGACCCTGCTAATTTTTTGTAGAGACTAGGTCTTCCTTTATTGCCCAGGCTGGTCTTGAACTCCTGGGCTCAAGTGATCCAACAGCCTCGGCCTCCTGAAAGTACTGGGATTACAAGGGTAAGCCATCACGTCAGACCAGACGGGCAGACTTCAGATTGACAGAAAAGAGGAGATTTTAGGTTGATTGAATCCTGCTGATAAACATAATTTAAAAGCTTTTATAGAGACTTGTACCTGGAATATAATGAACAAACTGGTTAGGCTACAAAAAAGTCATGTAAACAATTTGAAGTAAGACCAGAAAGCAAATTTGAAGTTTTTGTTAAACGAGCACTTTGAATGAAGAAACCCCTCAGACAGTGTTTGTGTGAGCAACATGACTGTTTATTCACCTGGGTGCAGGCGGGCTAAGGATGAAAAGGGTGTTATCGAAGGGTGATGGAATAGGAGTTGGTTTACAGGAAGAATGGGGGAAGAATTTTTGGTTTACACGGTTAGCCAAGTTTCCTTTCACAGGTTTATAAAGTGGTTTGGTTACGGTGGCAAAACCCTGGTATCCGGAGGCAAAAGTGTCCTAACAATGCCTAGGAAGGACAGAAGCTGTTGTTTCGTGGATGGGGTTGGGGTTTGGGAAATTAACTGGATATAGTTGGTGGAGAGAGCACATGTATGCTGGTGAAAGATTATAACAGATGGGGAAGAAATTTGGGCTTTAGGAAAAGCGTTTTTGAGGTGAAGAACAGAGTAGTGAGTTGTGGAAGTGGGTATGGAAGATAGGAGGGTATGGGGTTTGGTACAACCAGGTGGATGGGAGGTGTGATCTGAGAAGGCGGAGGTCTTGGACTAGTCTGTAGAGTTTGTTTTTTTTGACAGGCAGGATAGGGAAGAAATTTGGGCTTTGGAAGGGGATACATGATACCCCTTTGGGTACAGATGCTGAAGAAGCAGGAGGGTGAATTAAAAGGCCAAGTTGCAACAGATGGGTGATA